TGTTTCGTTACTCAGCTAGGTAACATTTTCAGTGCTAGAAGAACTGCATATTAAAACTGGATTTAAGAGCTTTGTAGAGTTCTGTGGAGTTCCTGCAAGAAATTTATTCTCTGGATTAGCATGCTAAAGGCAAAGTGAATTCTTCCAGACGTGTCATAAATACTAGTAAACATATCTGCATGCCTCCTCTCAGTCAAATACCCCAGAAAGTTACAGTTTCTGATTATGGGCAGATTGTAAACTCATTCACAAATTCATTTACAAGTCTGTTTCATCCATCTCCCAAGTTTCAGCACTAAATTTGTGCAAAGATTTTCAGTCTGTTTGCCAGGGAAGCAGATGGGTATTCTTCTTGCCTACAGTTTTTGCTCTTGTGGGGACAAGAGAACAAACACATTGAGCTAAATTTTGCTTGTACATTGTCTATTTACATCTCCTAAACTAATAAGCTTTATATGCTTGGTTTGATTTGGGCTTATTATTGATATACAGATACAGCTACTGTGGTTTATAGCTGAGCATTAGTTGTGTTATAGCTTGTTCAATAAAGCAAATCTTAGCACGGAATTCTGTAATCTACCTGCAAGTCAGAGAACTATTTAGAAGACAACAAAGTCCATGTCTTTACATCGGAAGAGCAAAAAGTACAATTTGAGGGAGGCTCCCTGTGGCCCACCAGCATCCTTTTTGGGTGCCCCCAGAACCCTCTTCAGGAATGCAATTAGCTAGAAAATGGGGTCTTTTTATTTTGAGACAGTTTGGCAGTTTTAATTTCCACCTAAAGCCTTGTAGATGTTTAAGGTACCATTGTATCCTTTAAACCTCCTCCCAAAATGGGCATTTTTGAAGTATGGGCCTCAAGATGCCACGTAAAGCCTGGTTAAACCCTCAAAGCCAACGACATTTATCCAGACCTGCTTTATATGCTGAGGTTTCAGTGAGCATTGACCATACATTGCACAACTTTAAGGACTACAAACTTGTGTTGCTAATTTTTAATTTTTTTTTAGGCTGAACTTTTGAGACTATTGAAATCTGCTCTAGAGCATAAGATTTGCTCAACCAACAGTTTAATTTTTTTTTCTGCTATAGTATATACTTATTTCTGAGTGGGCTGGCCTCTAACAATATTACATATTTCCTTATAATAGAGGTTTATATAAACTCAGACTGTCTAGCTCAGTGTTGTTGATTCACATAGGAATCTTTGCTAGAATTAGCAAATCAATTACAAACTAAAAACCATAGTCTTCTTGGTGGAGGAAAATGCTGCTACCACTTACTACTATTCTGTTTCAGTTCTTGGATATAACCATTTATAAGGCCTTTGATGGAGATCACTTTTTCCCTCCCTTTGTACAGAGTCCTGCTTTCTGTTTGCCTTCACTCACTTGAAGTTGCCTCCCTTCTGCCAGCAAGGGTACATGACAAAGCAAGGACTTGTGGGAAGTGAAAAGCTTCAGCATCACAGAGTAGCAACAGAACTGGTTGAGGACTACACAGCTATGGAGTCTCCAGATGAACAGGACAGTGGCAGTGTGCAATCCCACAACCAGCTGCCAAAAGATGCCAAGATATCCAGTCATCAGCTGCAGCATCTTATGAGCTCCAAGGATGAACTTTAGCCTCTACCCAACTGTTTAAAATTCACAAGTGTTACAGCACAATACCATGGCCCAGATTTTCAGAGGAGCTCCAACTTCCAGTATATCTGCTTGGGTTACTACTCATTCCTAGAGGAAGACCACATCTCAGCAAGAATTATTATATGTACCATGTTCTTGCACAAACTTGCAGATCGGTATGAGCATGAATTTATATGCTGCTTGGTGGAACCAAACAGATGAGACTTTAATGGGATGCTGTTAGCCTCTGGAGGTGGGAAATGTTATGCATTGTAGACAACAGAGAAGAGGGATGTCTCTAGGCCAGTAAGAGTGAATAAGTAAGCCTGGCTTCTTTTATACCACGTTGCCAAAATGCACTGTTACCATAGTCATTAGTGTGTTCTGCAGAACTGGCATTCTTGTATGCCAACTTGCTTATTTCAAGACAGAATGTTCTTGCATGTTAACAGAATATCTCTTCTGTTTGCACTATGCCCCACTTAATTTAGTTCAGTCAAGTGTTTCCTATTGTAAATGTATTTCTGATATTTTTTAAAGTAGGTTAGGAATACTGTCTGCACTTTATTGCACCCTTACCTCCAGTGCATTGATTCCTCTGACTACCATTGAGTTGGGTGCAGCAAACTGGAAATAATCCAAGCCCATCTCTTATTTATATCTTCTGGTTGTTTAGCAGATAGAATGAATGATGTTCATACATTCTCTCCTTCTGTTCCAGCAGAGTCCATAGAGGAGGGGCCCACAGCATAAGTGGCAAGCAAAGCGCACATTTTGCACATAGAACATCTCTGCTTTGATTCCTGGCACATACTGCCTCAATCTGATGCCCTCAAGACGTGCGGGCTACATTTCCAAAATTCTCAGCTAGTCATTGTCATGGCTATAAATTAGGGAGGAAAATCCAGCACATCTGAGAGCTAGCAGGTTGAGGAAGGCTACACTAACATTACCAAATTAAACAACAACAAAAGTTGCAGGGTAGTTCTACGGTCTGTGCCCTAGAGATGACGAGAGCTGCATTCCAACATGTTTGGAGGTGCAGATTAGAGAAGGATAAATAGTATTGAGCTAGATATGCCAGTGGCCTGATGCCAATTGTGTTCCTGAATTCATATTAGAGAAACTAGGGGTATTTATATGAATCCAAAAAGGGATGCTTGATAGCATTTCTACTGGGCACTTTTGGTTTAGTCACATTAAAATATGTGAAGATCAGACAATTCTGTCATATAGGAAAATTTGAATTCCTTAGGTACAAGCAGACTCGCTATCTAAATTTTTATATTCTTTTTTTAAATTTTTGCAGCGACACCAGAGAATCTATTTCGTGTTGCTTTTGTCAGTTTTTTTTCCTTTAAGATGGTTGCAATACCTTATTTTTGCATCTTTTCAAATAATCATTTCTCTATATGTTTTTAAATAACAAAACATGTAGTTTAAAACCTGCTCGGGGGAAATGGTGCAGTGGATGGTTGTTGATAATGTTATGAACACTACCCCAAATTGCCCATCACTGCTATTAATGGTCAGTGTTGAAGAAGGAACTAGTTGTGTTCAGTTACAAAGCCAGAAACCAGCATAACCCTCATTTAACGATACTGATACATATCAAGCTACCTCCATTATTCTACCGTATTACATCTATCTTCATTCTCGCCTGTTCTTATTGTCCAGATATTGTTGCTGTTTCCTAAATATGCATGATCAGTACAGCAGCCTGAATGGAACTTAATCCTCTCCAGGTTCAAGCATGAATACTTAAGGAAATTATAATTTGCATGGCTCAAATTAATATGAATATGTCATTGCTTTGTGAGTTAGGGCTGGATATTAATATGGTTTTTTAAGCAAAGCCTGAGTTCCACAGTGGTTGTACGAGACTTTTTCCGAAGGTCAGCTACTTTGCTACTGTTCCACAGAGAACAGTGATACCTTGTTCTTCTCAGGCTACCATATACTTGAGTAGCTTGGAAATCTCTTATTCATTAAATAGTCATATAATTCCAAGGGGGGAAAGGGCAATTGCAGTTCCTTCATTTTGAGAACTATCATATTTTCTAGAATATTTTTATTAACTTAAAATACCTGCCAAGATCAAGCAAATAACTTGTGTAATGTTATACTGACAATATATTTTGTTATGGTTGTATTCTTCTGGATGAACCTTTAAAACGTTTTCATTTTACCACGAAAGCCTAATAGCAGAAGTAGTGTTTGTCTTTGCTCGGTTATGGAGTGGGAAAGACTCACGATCCTTTCAACCTTTCAGGATATTTTTATGAGCTCATAAAAATAGTGAACAAAGGCAATGTTTTTTGCCAGCTCTGAAGTAAACAAAAAACAAAAAAACCCAGTGTGATAAATTGGCTCATTGCTTCCAAATCATTAATAATTGTTTTAACAGTTTGACAGACAATCCTTTCTTCACTAACTTGATCTATGGCACTGCTAGCCTCAAACGATCATGTTTGAGATTTTAAGTTTTCAAACTTAAAAGGTTTAGAACTAAAATTTTAAATTCCACAGTACTTTTGCTTCTTGTCTGTTGGTTTTTGTGTCCATCTGCTTTTGCATTCAGACTTCCAGTACTGCAATCTTTTCTTGGATAAGGTTTGCGGAGCCATTCCCAAAAGTTCCGCTGAATTGTAATTTCTTAAGGTAAGAGAAGGAGAAAATTCTAAATATGGGAATAATATTTATATTTAATTTAAATGTAATTAAATCAATTTAGTTTTTATATCTCACACGCACGGACATTGGAACACACACACAGACTTCCAGCATACTATTCAAAGTTCAAGTGCTGCCTTTGGCCCCAAAAAGGCCTTAGGCACATGAGGATTAAAATTAGTTCTATTTTGCCTTTTAAAAGGAAGAATTTCAAATTTGCAATTTTACAAAAGCTCCTGGAGCAACACTGTTAAAGATAATTTGTGTGATACTGTAGTAATAGTAGAAAAGGCCCCTTCTCTTTAGGCTTTTAATAATATAGTTTAATAACAAACTTCATTATGAAATAAAAGCTAGTTTTAGAAAACTAACAAATGCCACAATGAAGTGGCGATTTAACTAATGCACATACATTTTTTAAATCAAATTATGTGGCAGCTATTCCTATTATGGAAACTTAGAAATGTTTCTTATCTTAAAACTCAGCAGTGTAGTTATATAGATGAAATGCATGGTGCACGCAAACACATTGTGGGAAACTAGTAAATTATTATCCTTCTCAAGTGTTCATAGATGTAGTTTGTTAAGTGTCATGCTGCAATATGACTCAATGAAATTAGGTTTAGTGGTTTAATAAAAATAATTTTAAACAGATTCTTCCCTTCATGAAAGAAAAGGAACATCTACTTCCTTTTATGCTAAAGCTGAACAGTTAGTAAAATTATAATCCACTGGAAACAGAATTTTGGTTGGGGGGAGGAGTAACAAGAATAGGGAAAGGTAGCTTCAGCAATTAAGCTCAAATCTGTTTCCTTAACAGATTTAATCAATGACGTACTGTATACTCCCCAAGATAGTAAACTGTGTTCCTAGTATAAAGGTTGCACATGCCCGCTATTTTCACTCTAACTCTGTTAATCCATTTATATGGAATCTTGTGATAACCAGATCATACCCTCCTCTATTAATTACACTAATGAGAACCAGAGGTGAGTGAGTGTTAAGGTAAGTGGAGTAAAAAAAAAGGATATATTCTGAAATTCCTGGGGAAATCCCCAAGGCTTTCAAAAAGAAAAGGAAAAAAATCAAGGGGCAAATCTAAACATTCAGTGAGACCAAAACCTCTCACTAGCTACAGAATGCTATGTGTTATGGGCAAGAGGTGGGGAGGATAGAAAGGAAATGTTCTGCATATGCTCCTTGCAATCCGTGAGCCCTTCCCCACTGCGTTGACACAAACTTGCCCTGGAAACATCTTTCTTCTGCTGTGCTCAGTGATGTCTCCTCCATCTCATCCCCAGGCTATAAGTGATACAGGCTTAAGTCGCTCTTAGCAGTACTAGTGTTAAAGGAATGAGTTTTCCCTTAGTGTGACACTGTCCAAGGACAGCTGCAAGGTGTGTAGAATCTGATAGGAAGTCAGATGACTGGGAACAGGGGAAATAGAAGCAGATTGGGCAGTGGCAAGAGGGGACAAAAGACATTGTTGTCTGCCAACTCCAGGACGGAAGGACCTCCCTTCAACTCAGCTGTGGAAAATCTCTCTATAGGAGGATTGAGAGTGCCTTCAGTCACCTTCCTGTATGTTGTACTAAAACGCGGATCGTCTATCAAAGGTGGCTGTGTTGGCTAGGGCTGCTGGCAGTTAACTTTAACATCTGGAGGGCTACAAACATCCCATCTGTGGCATATGATATCCTGGAGGATGGCGGAAACAGTCCTACTGCAGACATCTGAAAACAGAACAGTCACAAATCCCACTAGTATGGAAAATGTCCGCTCCTGGCTTCTACACAGTTATTTTAGAATCCCCAACACTTTAACAGCATTTGATTGAACGGGGGAAATCCACTAATAAAGCTACTCTCACCACTAATAATGGATTTTATCTGATAATTTGGGAGCTTTGGCAGCTTGTCACAATTTTATCTCCTGTTTTATTTCCCTGCCAATACATATACATATATATACATACATACCCTTGCCATATATGTATATACATATATGTGTAAGTTTGGTGTAGTAGTTAAGGTGTAGAAACCAGGAGACTCTGAGTTGTAGGCCTACCTTAGGCATAAAAGGCAGCTGGGTGATTTTGGGCCAGTCACTCTCAGCCCATCCCACCTCACAGGGTAGTTGTAGAGAAAATAGGAGTGTATGTTCATCGCCTTGAGTTATGTTTATATTAAAAAGGGATAAAAATAATAATTGCAATGTAGTGTGCAATTACTCAAAATAATTCATTTTAGAAACCGATTAACTAAGCTAACCACAAACACGGGCGCTTTAAGAAACCTACAGAACAAAACCCTTTAGCAGACTTCAGTCCGCTGGGCATCCACCCGTCCGACCAGGCTCAGCCCGTGTACTTCGACCACGCCCGCGGCGAACTGAGCAAAGACTGGGCAGAATGTACGTTCGCCATTGGTGCAATAAGAACAGGCAGTGAGGTCAGATTTCCTCCAGAGCCAATCAGCACCCAGGCCGAGCCGTTACTTAGCTTCTCTCTAACCAATAAACATACAGGATATGCTTATTGCTCCCGCCTTGCCCAATCAACCACCAAAGTTGTCAAGAGCTTCCTTTCAGCAGCCAATCATCACGAGAGGATTTAGGTTCTGTTTTAAGGCTACGTCTCTTCGTCCAATCAGCTGCAGGAGGACAGTTCAGCTTTTTGGTTCCGTAGTGTGGCCTTGTGGGGCTCTTCGGGGGGTGTGAAGGTGAGAAGGGGAAGCGATTCCTTTGATGGCTTTTTATTAGTATTATTATTATTATTTCAAATCGGGGATAAGGCAGCCCTGGGGGTCACTCCTCGCTGTATAGGGGATGGTGGTGTAATAACAGGTAGGGTATTCAGGGCTCCTGCAAGTGGAAGATAGTTGGCTGAAGAAATAGGGGTACAAGTGGGAAATTAAGAAGCCGCAGGCAGGCTGGGTTTAATTTTCAGCAGGGCTGGCTACTCTTCGAGAAGCTGTCATAATACTGACTAAAGCTAGGAGGTTCTTCGAGCATGTGCAGAGTTCCATTGCCTTATCACTGCAACCACGTGTCTCAAGCTTGTGGGGAGAAAAAAAACTTTCAGATCAGGACGTGAGACTTTGGATAAAGAGCTTCTGTTCTGGACGTTTCAGAAATTCAGATTAAAGTAAGAGGAGCTGAAAGGGCCAGGTAGCGTTGCCAGTGTTTCTTGGCAGAATTTCTGTCCCTTTACTAAATGCATAATTGGAAATTTAGTAAACGCAGCTTTATTCATAACTGTCCTCTGTCTCACAAAAGCTGTTTACATTAGCTGCAAGCTTGCTTTGGTTAAGTGCCAAAAGAGCCAGGCCAAGGGGGTTAGCGAGCATAGATTTAAATTAAGACAAGAAAAGTTGTATTTCATATGTTTAGGGCCTCTTTAAAAAAATAAAGAAGCAATGTGACAAAAAATATTTACCTACTTCTGAGTTTGCTTGAATAAAACAAATTTGACTCTTAATTAATGGGAAAATGGCTCTTAATTTTCTTAGCAAACTTTAGTAAATTTTGAAGACATTAATTTTGAATGTAGAATGATTATTAAAATGTGAATTTTGGGGGAAACATATTTTAAAGCAGATACCCCATCTTCTTTTCCAAATCCCTAAACAGTCGAATTCATTATGTTTAAAGAGTATTGTATTTGCGATACTGCCTTGTTTCTTCATGTTTCTACTTTTCATGAAAGTAGTTTGCTGTTGTGGGATAATGCTGTTACAAAATTGTTGTGGATCAGTCTAAGTAATGTAAGTGCTGCAATATTAATATCGAAGCCATGCATCCTGGCTGTGGTATCCCTTTTAACTCTGTCAATATTTTATAGATGTAGTACTAGCAAAACTGCTATATTATGGTCATCCACTCTGTGTTTTCAGAATAAATTAGAAATGAACCATGAAGCCCATTTTGTACTTTGAAAAGTAAATTGGGAAACAGGTTCTACCATGAATCTCTTTGAACGGCAATGGCAAGTTGCTTAGTATTGCTTAACTATTATACCTTGTGCATTATTTATGATTAGAATTGTAAATAATTTAGCCTCATTGAGATACTCAGTTGATATTATAGTAATAATGGTGTGCTATTTAAAAAAAGAAGGCTGTTTATGTTATGATGTCAGTAAGTGCATTTTAGTAATACACTGGAACTATGATGTCCCAGGATAGAAGGCCTTGCTTTCAGATAAAAGGAATAGCAAATCAAGACAAAACAAAAGGTTCACTCCCAGCTTAGACCATAAAATGGGGAAACCAAGAACAATTGAGTTGGTAGGCTTAGGAAATAGGCCAAAGTGTTGCAGCCCAGAGTGTCTGGAATTCTTGAGAAACTCCTGTTCTGCTTTAAAGGCTGTTTCATGGTCCATAAAATTAAAGTCACTTCATTTGTTTCATTAACCACAATTCTAGTATGGGCTTTCATCATTTCATAATAAAAATTGGCAGCCTAAATGTTCCAAGTAGAGATAGGTGAGATGGCAAACTAGAAGCAAGGACTTGATATTTCCTTCTCTGCCCAGTGTGTAGGTGTGCCCACTGTATATAAAATAAATATGCCAGCATAGAGACTATTTTAAGCATTGTGTGGCATGTATGAAGGACACTGAATTGCAGGAGATTGCAGATAAGGTAGTCAAAGTACTGTTGGATTTGTGAGAGGCAGCCCAAATTGAACACAGCAAAGACTTAAACTGTTTTAGGAATATTGGCAGTAGTTGGGAGGGTGAATGGGGACTTTTGGAATCAGTTGGGAAGAACCAAAACAGCAACAGAATGGCTAGGTTAGAGGGGCAGTGCAAATGTATGGAGGTCTTAGGTCCCCTGTTTGCTCCTTATGATGCTTTTGTTTGTTCTTTTTCCAGATGGCCCAAAACCTCTTCAGATCATTCCTGTCTATTCCAGTCAAGCATCTCACACCATTGCTTCGTCCCCGACCCTCATTGGTTCTGTACAGGGTTTCAGCTCTGCCATGCAGGATGCCCTGGTGTACTTCCTTTTCTTCTCCTGCTGTGCCCGCACAGACTAGGACATTTTCTACTACTCAGGTCTTTTGGCATACTTTTAATGTCCAGGATGAAAATGACTTCCAAGACAGAGTTTTGAAAAGTCAAAAACCAGTGGTGATAGATTTCCATGCCCAGTAAGTATGGTGAATGTATCTTTGTTACAAAGGTGTCAAAAGTCAGTAAGAGAATTTCTGCCCTATCTTTAGTGTGGTGTGTATGTATTAGAGATTATGTAGGATGGAGGGCTTTGGCCCCAAATGGTTTGGCTAATAGGGCCTGCCTCTCTCTCTGCAACTGGTTATCACTGTATTTGCTTGATGGTAGTGATAGCTTTTTCTCCCGAAATTGCTTTCTCTAAAGACAAGAATGATTGAATTATCAGAACTAATAGTTTCCCTCTTTCTTATAATTTTTCCCGACTTGGAAGTCTGCTACAAGATTGTTTTCCCCAGCTATCAGTTCCCTTGCTACCAGTTGTAGATGCCATAGGATAACTGAGAA